GTCTATCCCCAATTATAGCTATCTTCCCCGGTAGCTTGACCTTTCTGTCACCTCCTCAGTTAGCGTTTTATGTGCCTATAAATTATACATTCTCTATACATGGGAACAAAACACATACATCACCTTGAGCATACTCTTGCTTTCTTTCTCCCCCTGCTATCTTGTACTCTCTTATTAATAGAGTTCTTCAACCATCATTGTCGCCTTCACTTGTTAAGTCACCTAGATTCAACTACCCAATCTTTGTATCTTATTATTAATTGTTTTACACCGCTTACTCAATTGATTTGATTGGGCATAATACACTTTGTGTATCATCAATTTTATCACAAATACTAAAATAACTCATTGAAATTCAAAATTTCTTAGCAATAAATAAAATCTTGCTCATATATAAGACTCATGAATTTATTACCTCTACCACCACTCAATCTAATAACAAAACATAATTATAAACTCAATTACCATATTTCTAATCCACGTTATCTCCCATGTAATAAATACTTCAAGCAAAAAAAAAAAAATACTAATAAAACACAATTAAATTCACAATATTTAAGTAAAAAATAAAATCAATCAAATTTTGTTTATTTATAAAACTCATGAATTTATTACTACTATCACCATTCAATCCCAAATGATGTAATATAATTATAAATTTAATTACCAAATGTTCAGTTCTCCACATATAAATATACATGGAAACACATTCTCACACATTTTTTTTTGACTACCAACAAACATTTCTAACCAATAACTTTTTTTTATTATAAATACAGTAATTCAAGGTTTTTAAAATAATAATAAATTAATATCTAATTAAAAATAGGGTAAAAAATATGGTCATCCCCTGAATTTTGGCAATATTATATGGACACCCCTGACATTTTATAAATAACGCAAAAACTCCATGATATTTGAAATTTATTACAAAGAGATCCCCTCTCTCTCCCTTTAATCAATATTGTTAACGAAAAGTAATGATTTCATCCTAATTTTTTTTTTTTTAACAATTGTCTTTCTCCAACTTTAATACTCAAGAAAATTAAAAATTTAATAAAATGAAATATGATTTGATTTAATATCCAAAAAATTGATTAAATGAATTTTAATATTAATTTAATAGCAATAAAATTTAATCTGATATTAATTCAATAAAGTTGAATATAAATTGGACAAAACTAAATGTCAATTTTTGATAAAATTATATATTAATTTACAATTTAAGGTTCATTTCTTGTTGAATATTATTTGGTAGTGATTAAACCAACATGAAATTGACCTCAAATTATTAATTTTTTTGTTGTATATAACTTAAAAATTTATATTTTAACTCATAAAATTTAAATACAAATTTTTGTATAGCATAACGTCTTCTCTCTTATTATATCATTTGATAAATTTTCTTTTGGTTAAGATTCCACCACATATACTTAAACCAAACCAATTGTTCATCCGCCAATTTTTTTTTTAAGAGAGTCGCTTACCTCCACTTAGTAAATTCAAAAATCTCTGGTTCACATGAAAATACATGAAAGTAAAATAAAAAGTTGAAAAAAAAAATTGAAAAATTGATAGTTCAAAAAATTTAGTACCAAAAAAATTGATAATGTTGTCAAAAATATAATCTAAGGTCAATTTCATGTTTATTTGATCAAATAACAAATAATATTTATTTTTATACAATTGACATTTAATTTTGTCAAATTAACATTCAACTTTGTCAAATTAATTTTAAATTATTTTTTAATGTTGTTAAATTAATATTGAAATTCATTTAATCAATTTTTTAGGGTACTAAATTATATCAATTTTTTTAGTATTAAATCAAAATTTTTTTTATTTTATTAAAATTTTAATTTTTTTGCTACGAAATTTGGAAGAGGGCAATTGCGAAAATAATAAAGTTTTTTTTTTTGGGATAAAATCATCACTTTCCGGTAGCAAGATTAATGGAAAGGAGATGGAAGGGGTTTTCGTGCAATGAGTATCAAGCCTTAGGAGTTCTCCGTGTTATTTGGAAAATGTCAACGGGTATCTATATAATATTAACAAAACTCAATGGGGTGCCCGTGTTTTTTCTCCTAAAAAATAGTCAAAATAGATTTAAAACCTTGTCCAGCAGAACTTTTAGAAAGATGAAAATCCATAAAATATAATATAAAAGAGAAGAATAAAAACACATAAAATATAATAAATAGTGCAAACAATAAAAAAACTATAAAAATAATCTATATAAAAACCATTGTCAGTGAGAATTCTAAAGGAATTTAGGCATTGAAGCAATTAAGACCTAAATTTAGGCAAAGATGTGAAACTCTGATAAAAAAATTATTAAATCGTGAAAAATGTGTGTTATTTTTTTATTTACATTAAGTATTATTTATAAATTAGGAAGCAAGCGGAAAAATACATACCATTAGATATATAAAAATTTGAATTAATTTTATGGAATAAATAATTGCATAACATGTAATTTTATATGTTTTATGGAATAAATAATAAAAAAATAACACTAGCGAAACAAAAAAAAAAGATAATAGTATGAGAGAGAGAGAGAGAGAATAAGATAGATATATAGAGAGAGTTAGATGAAAGAAATGAGTTTTTGAAAAATTTCGCACAAGAACTGTTTGATCAAAAATCATTAAGCAATCTGAACAGCGAAAAACTCAAGACAAACTTTTCTATCAATTTTATTATATAGATGTTATTTTACTACTTCACACAAAAAAATAAAGAAGAAGAAGAAGGAGTAGTTGGGAGAATTATATTTAGATCCCCTAAAATATATCACTTAATCACTTAAATTCCATGATATTTAAAATATTATATACAAACCCCAATCCCACATCCGTTAGTAAATCTGTGTTAGTAAATTACATTTTAAAGTTTGTAGGTTTATTACACTTAAATTCTTTAAGTCTAATATATTATACTTAGATCACTTATTAGTTATAGAACTAACAAAATCTATTAAATGATTAAATTATTTCAATTAGAGATAGAAAATATTGTATCCATTGCAGTTTGACCACTTATTTATTTTTTTAGATTTATTCCAGTAGATAAAATAATTGTACACTAATTATAATTTTTTAAATAAAAAATTAGATTTTTGGTTTTGATTTTATTTCAATAAATGACATAATAGAATATGAATTTTAATTTTAAATTTTAAAATATTTGATATTTTATCCTTAATTGGAGTATTTTTAGATTAAATATAATATTTTAAACTTGAGAAATCTTAATATTGTATGTCTAAAAAAGTCAAAAGGTCTGAGTGTAATTTTTCGTTAGTCTAGGTGTTACGCATGTATAAACTTTAGGGATTTGCATATAATATTTTAAAATATGAACGATTTAAGTGATTAAGTGATAAATTTTAAGAGTTTAAGTATAATTTTTCCAAAAAAAAATCAGTGCCATAATTATATAAGGAATCTCACTTTGTACAATAAGTTTTTTGTTTTGTATTCTCAAAAATTAATAGTGTTGTTGTCACCCTTATGTTAACTTCCATAGCTCGTTCCAATAAAAACCATGCCATTGATGTTGATAGAAAAAATAACATAAGGTTGTACCGCAATACTTTTTAATATATTGAAAGTATAATATAAAAATATTAATTATTGTCTATGCCTGAAGGTATAAACTAATAACAAATGATAAATAATAAATATTTTTATATTTATATTCAAAATCAAATAACAAACATATAAGAGAGATAAATAAATTTAAACATCAATTATAACGGAGGTGAGAGGTGGTGGGTGGCGATGGGTGACAGTTGTAGTGGTAAGAGACAATGATAGGTGTGGTGGATGACAATGATCGTGATGACGGTGGTAGTAGTGGCAGTGGTGGCAATGGCGGTGGCGGCGGCGGCGGCGACAGTGGTGGTGGTGGTGTAGTGGTCGCGCAGTTTCAAGCACAATTTTTTTTAAAATATTTATAAAATATAATTTTTAAAAATACTTTTAAAAAGTTATTTCAAACACACCCCTTAGGGACTTATTTTTTATATTAAATTTAGGGGGTTAATATTAGCTATTAAATTAATTTTGAAGTAAAATTTAAAGTGATGTTACTTGTGAATAGTAAAAATTATTTTGTTTATTTTTTAGATTTGAATTGTAAGTTATTTTATTATAAAAATATAATTTTTAAAGATATAAAATAAAAATTCTTAAATTCTGTAGGGTGAAAAGTATAATTCGCCAATAATTACATGCCTGGGGTATATGAAACGCCAGAAGAGAGAGAGAGAGAGAGAGAGAGAGAGATAGAGGTGTTCGTGGGCGAAGATGGAGATCTGTGCTTGGTAAGTGTTGAATCTGGGTGAAGACGGAGAAGATTTTGTCCTCCATGGATTGAACTCAATTGAGAGAAGATCCACTGCTTCGGATCTAGCGTTGAAGGTTAGTAAAAATGTAAAATCAGCACAGCTGATTTTGCTTGTTTGGGTCTGTGGAGTCTGATTGCTTGAGATTTGTGTTGATTGTGATTTTTGGGTAAGTATGTTGATTGGGTTGATTACTTGACTCTCCTTGATTTCGTTGGATTTTTTTGTTTGATTGTGGCGGTTTTGATATTGTGAATTTAGCTATGGCGGTTTGGTGGTGGTGGTGGCAACACTGGTTCAATTCGAATTTTAAAATCTAGGATTAGGCAATGCTCAGGTTAGTGGATTTGGGTTGAAATCTGGGTTCGATTTGAGTCTTGGCTTGAGGATGTTTCTAACTTGGATTGAGGTCAAGTTGTCTTTCAACCTGCCCGAGTTACACACCTAGGTCTGACAAACATCATCAGTGTGCACATTCTCTCAACATTGGAGACAAACATGTGCTCACAATATATTCTTAGCTTATTCAAACAAATTTTCCAATGTAAACTTCCTTGCTCTTGAAAGATTATATAAAATGCAGATTACAATGTCTAAAACTCTCTCTCTGTCTCTCTCACATACACACACACATACACACACACAAACACACAAACATAAATCCACACGAAAGCATTTGTAACTATCTAATCCCAGATGCACTGAGTTGACAGCAGCTTAGAAACATCCTGCATCGTTGGCCTAAATTGTGGATTGGCATGTAAGCATGCTTTGGCAACCTTCATAATGGTTACCAACACTCTCTCAACTTCAGGTAGGGGACCTTCAAGGCGTTGGTCCAACAAATCTTTCAATAATATTTTCTCAGCTGATGGAGATGTTATAGACGAAATATAATCCCCTGAATGTTTTCCTTTCATCACTTCCAGTGTTAATACTCCAAAGCTATAAACATCACACTTCGTGGTTACCTTCATTGTGGAAGCAAACTCTGGGAAGAAAACCAACAGATAATCATGTATTTGCGCTCTTTATGTTCTGTAAATTTACAAAGGTCGTGCCGTGTCATTTTGGTTTTGTGTCGTGTTTATGGATGTCAATGGACCGAAGCAAGGGCAGGGGCGTAGTCTCCATCCCTGTACCCGCTTAAAAAAACTCTGTACATCCCCAGTTTACTCCAGTTAACGGGTATAATTATCATCTCCATCTCCATCTCCATCTCCATCCGCGGGTAAATTTGTAATTTACGCCCATGCCCCGTCCCCCACCTTCACCTCCGCCCCCACCCCCGTCTTCCTTACCCGCCTAAGCTCAAGCCAATATAATCTAAAATTCTAAATAAATTTAACATTTTAAATAATGTAACATAATTATAGAATATCATAGCATAATTAAAAGTTGGTCATTTACAACATAATATAATTAAAATCTTGTCTACAACATAATCCAATAAAATATAATTAAAAGTTTGTCTCCCTTGTAAATCTAACACAGTATCATGTAACACAACATCATGTAACACAACATAATGTAACATAACATAATCTAATATAAAAAAAATATAAAAACACAAAAATTTACACTTTTACAAACCAAAACCAAGAAAAAAAATAAAAAAACAAAACAATTTTTAAAAGAAAAAATCATTCAATAATATATAGATTTGTATTAACAGCAACATGTGTCTATATATATATATATATATATATATAAAATAATAACGTGTAAAGCGGGGTATTGGTAAGTGTCAGTCCATCCCCGCCTTCATCCCCGCATGGGTTTATATGTGTATCCCCGTATACGTTCACCGGCATCCATCTAACGCCACTGGATCGAATACCCATTTTTGTCCGGTCCATTGTCATCCCTAATTGTGTTTGTGTTATAAAAAATCATTTAATTTTAAGATAATTCATACAATACTAGATTAAGAAATAAAAAAACACAAAAGACATATTTTCTTCGTGTAGCACTAGACAATAATATATAAACTCTACAATCCTAGATGTATGAGAGCAAAAAGCAAAAACCTATATTACCTGGTGCAATATACCCATATGTGCCTGCAAGAGCACTCCAATTCGACGAGTCTAGCTTTAGAAGTTTGGCAGTGCCAAAATCTGAAACATGAGCCTCATAGTCGGTATCGAGCAAAATGTTACCACTGGTAATGTCTCGATGAACAATTGGAGGCAAACAATCATGATGCATGTATGACAAAGCATGAGCCACACCCTTGACAATGCGAACCCTCTTAGACCAGTCCAATTTCTTAGCTTCATCTTCCATGCTCAAGATTTTGGCCAAGCTTCCCCTTTCGAGGTACTCATAAACCAAAAATGAATGTCGAGAATGTGAACAAAAACCATAGAATTTCACAATGTTTCGATGCCTAATCTCTGTCAACGCCCTTACCTCGTTTAGAAAACCTTTAGAATCCTCTATCTCGGAAGAGTATAGTTTCTTTACAGCCACCGTGTTGGCTAGTTGTAGCTTTGCTTTGTAAACGATCCCATATCCTCCTTGTCCAATGCAATATGTGGCATCAAATTCCTTTGTGGATTGTAGGACATCATTGTACATTGCTCTCCCATCATAAGTTGATATTGAAAATAGATCTCCATTCTGCATCTTGGTCTGCTTGTCAAGTGAGATTCTCTTTCTCTTTTTAGAAATGATGAGAAGTCCCATAAATGCACATATCAGTACAAGTGCTGCAAGGAGAGGGATTATGATTACGAGAATGAGTTTATGGCCAGACTTCGTAATATCTTTGTTGACCTCGGAAGGATTTTTGCAAGGTTGCAATCCTATAATGTTGCCACACAAACCTTTGTTCCCTTGCAACTCTTCTATCGAGGCATTTCTAAAGGCTTGGTTATTGGGGATGGGACCTTGCAACTCATTGTAGGATATGTCAATATTTGACAAGCCGTGCATTTCTTCAAAAGCCTTTGGAATGAACCCAGATAGGTTATTATGGGAGAGATTCAGTAATTCCAACGTCTGCAAACTTCCGATTTCTGGTGGTATCTTTCCTGTCAAAGAATTTTGACTCAAATCGAGTGCAGACAACTGAAATAACTTACCAAATGATGGTACATTGATTGGTAAATGACTTGTACATGCAAATGATGAAGAGTTTTTGTACGGTTTGTAATGATTGGTGGATTGGTTGGTTGCCGAAATTTGATTCCGTAACCGATGAAGATAAATTGTAAAATCATTTTTTCAATTAACCATGTAATATCTGAATTTAATCAATTGAAGACATTTACAGGTGGGGAAATGCATACATTTGCATGGTCAAAAAGGACCCCCCCCCCCCTCCCCCACACACATTCTAACTCTCCACCATTATAAGGTGTAGCGTTGTACCAATGACCACCAATCACTTCTCTACATCCCCTCCATTAGCAAGGACGGAGCTGTTAGTGGGTTTCGGTGGATTGAAGCCCAAAGTTCCAAAAAAAAAAAAATTATCACTTTTATATGTATTGCAATCATTAGCCCAACATGCACCATAGTATCAGACCAGTTTTTGTTTTACCTTGGACAAGCCAATCTAAGATCAACAAAATAAAAGGCTAAGTCAACCAGATACCAGACCCAATATATAACATTGATCTGTCTCATTGGTATTGGGCTTAGTGGTCATTTCTGGGCTAATTTGGCACCAATATCAATGGTTGCTACTGCAAACTTACCAAGCTAATCACAAATTGCTCCAATGAAGAGTACATCTTAAAATTGCTCTTTCAAACTTATCAACAAAAAAATAATTATTTCTTTGTTACAAAATGTTTTAGTGATAAAATAAATCACTAATCTTTAGCCTAATTTCCCAAAGTCGTTAAAGCTTAAGCTCCAATGAAGAGTTACATAGTAGATTCAATGAAGAAACAATAGAATTACTTATGTTCAGCTCTGCTTTAGATTCTCGGGACAATTTTAAATCTTTCAATCTTGATCGCATTTGTTTACTTGCTGATAAGTTTTATGTAGCTGATTTTGACAGACAAGACATACATAATTTGAAATGTCAATTGGATCATTATTGATTTGATGTGGTTTGCCATGAGAGGTTTCACAGTATATCTACAATTTCAAAATTATGTCGTGGTTTAGTAGAAACAAATAAGGCGGAGTCTTACAATTTGATTGATAGGTTGATTTGTCTTATTTTAATTTTTCCCGTTTCTATGGCAACTTCAGAAAGAGCATTTTCAGGCATGAAACATGTTAAAAGTACTCTTCATAACAAGATGGAAGATGTGTATTTGACTAATTCATTAGTTGTCTATATTGAAAGAGAAATGACGGAAGCAATTGATACATATTCAATAATAGATGCCTTTTGTTCTACGAAGGATCGAATAATCCAATTTCATTAGTAAGTGTTTATGAGTTTACATTTGTAATATTGTACATATATTTATAAGTTTATATTTGTATTTTGTTAGTTGTATGAATGTTTAGTTTAGCCCGGGATAAACAAAAATTCTGGCTCTGCCCTTGTCCATTAGCATCCTAATAACCTTCACCTTTTGTCTGGGGAGAGTTCTGAAACTACATGATGGTGTTAAGGTTCAGTGGTTTAATTGTGGTGGTGGTGGGCACGGTGGGGCATTGGCTTAGTGCAAGTTCCTAATGAGCCAAAGCAAGCTGCCAATCCCCAAGCGTAATCTTGAGTATGAAAACCTGATGGCAAGAAATGGCAGCAGCTCCCAATTAGACTTGGCATGACAATTCAGGACAAAACCCATGAACTTGCAAAAGCAGAACACAAACCGACTAACCACAACTTAGAACTGACACAACACAAACCTCCAACATTTTAAGATTTTAAATAGATCGGACATGAGTTAGAACAGAATCTTGAGACCTTCAGGATTTAGAAACAGGACAGACAAGACCTTTTGGCAGGCCTACCACAGAATACTAATCTGATCTTGTGTGCAACCTCAATGCCCTCTCACTATTAGAGTGGTTCTCGGCCTGAAGGAGTTATCTACTTATGTGATTATCATTAATAGTATTTCGTTTGCTTTAAGAGTAAATCTAGTATATCAGTTTATTATGTGATAGAATTTTATTTGCTTTAGGAGTTCACTTGGTAGATTATATATTACTTATCTAGTTCTTATCTCATAATCAACTGATTAGTAGTATAAATAATAGATGAGATGGACTCTCCAGATTACATAGAGATTTATTTATTAATTGCCTGTGAGAGTGCCTCTGGTTTGTCAACATGGTATCAGAGCCATGCTTGACTAACGTCTTCTTCTCCTTTTCTTTTTAGTTCATCATAGCATGCTTGACTAATGTAAATTTTTTTTTTTTTTTTTCATTCCACAAACAGACCCTACCCCATAGCTATGTTGTTATCCTATGCTCTTCAATTTCTTCTTTCCAATATACATTCTCTTGTCACCATTAAACTAGACTCCACTAATTACAGAACATGGAAGACTCAAATCCACCATGTCCTGTGTGCTCATGGGTTCTTAGACTATGTTGAGGGCACCCAATCTTGTCCAGATGCTACAGTAGTTGATTCTTCTAACAATGAAGTTCCAAATCCAAAATTCCTTGAATGGACTCAAGTAGATCAGAGCTTTTGACCCATCCCAAAGTATTTTGAAAAAAAATTCCAAAATAAGAGTTGGTTTGAAAGTAATTCTCAAATCCATGGAGTTTTGAAAACGTCAGTTGGTTTGACCTTTTTAAGCCAAAAAACATCAGATCAACTGACGTTTTTAGCTTTGAAACTATGGCCCTATGCAACTTAAAAACGTCAGTCCATTTGACGTTATCGTTAAAAACATCAAATGGACTGACGTTTTTAACTTGAATCGCCTGATTCCCTTCTTGAGGAGTGGTAATAGGCATAATAGTGGCAACTTGTTGAGGCCTTCTTATGTTGCAAAAACATAAATCTAAGTTTAGATTTTTTCTTTCTGTCAAGCCATATTATCATTCCGCCATCATTGTATTTGTAACTGTTAGTGAATAGTGTAATCAAGGATTCGTTGGTTAAAAGAACTCATCATTTAAAACTTAATGATAACCCAAAGTTTCAAACAGGGTTCTCGGATTAAAATTCATATTTACAGATGAATTTTGTACATTGTACATTGAACATTTCACATGAGTTCAAACTTATAGACAATTTATTTATGTGAGTATGACAGTCTACAACCTAAATGAATGTCATTGCAACATTGTGTAGTCACAGTCATTGACTAAACAATAATAGCTAGTGACACTTACTGACACTGAACCAGTTTGTAGTCACATAGACTGACATTTAACTAGCGTTTAGTCACAGTAACTTAGTGTGTTGTCACAACGATTGATAATGATGCATTTGTCTGTCATTGTAACTGTTTCTTATTCAACAGCACAGGTTACTGAAGACCCTACATTGCACTTCAATGCATTAGTGTGTTGTCACATTCCACATCCTATGACTACACAGTAGTTAACATCCTATGACTACACAATAGTTAACATCCACAAACCCTAATACTGTTAAATATATCACGGGTCGTGAATCACTATGACGCAAGATGAATCAGGGTCTATTAAAATCAATGTACTACATTTCTTAGTGTGCAGTCACAGTCACTGCGTACTAGTGTCTGGCTTCGTTGACATGTAATAGTATGTAGTCGCACGTACTGTACAATTTTCTTGTTACTGTTTGACCATCAACTCAAATGTAAAGGTGACTATACACTACTACACTGTTGATAAATGTATTTAATTCAGACAATGAAAACCATTATAAAAATATAATATAAGGTGACTAATATAACATGTATTGCACATTATGTCTACTTCAAGAGCACGAGTAGGTGATACCAGCCGTAGGCATGAACCAGTATGGTTATTACAAGAACAAGATGATGATTAAAAGAGTGAGATATTTTTTTATTCAAAGGAGTATTATGTCAGACTCTGTCGAGAGTGGACTTTTCATGCTAATGAATCACAGTTATTATGCACAGATCTGAGAGAACTTAGTATACCGGTGCCACATAGACTTTCACTTACCATACTCCAAAGGAATGGAGTCAACTATGAAGCAACAGTTAGTGTACGAAAGGAGAATAATAGTATAATGTTGCGTAAGTGTCGATATTATATGCTCCAAATAACATCTGACATGGTGGCAACTGCATTTGACAGGGAGTTAACAATTACTGAGCGATCTAATGTATTGTCTAATGAACAATACTTATTAGATGAGTATTTTTCTGATGAAAATTAAGAAATATAATTAGTGTTCACCTTATTATGCATATAATGTTTATTTCTACATCCTATTTACTTTAATCAATATTGTGTCTTTATTAGTTTATTCAGTGTGTTGTCATATCTCAATTTTTTCATTGTCACATCATGTCATTGTCAAATCAGTTCTCAACTCTGTAGTATGATGTCCTATTTACTTTAATCTATCTCGTGGCTTTATCAGTCTATGTAGTGTGTTGTCATATCATAACTTTTTAATAATCATTTTATATCACTATCAAATCAGTTCCAAATTATGCAGATTAATGTCCTTTAAATGCAATTTTAAATTGTCAAACCGAACATATATATACTACCATTCACAATTGTGTAAATGCACCACCACCAAACAAAATGTATAGAAACATATCACATGCAAGTTTTTCATGTAATGACCAAAATAGTTCATCTTTGGGTAATAAACGTGAACGTTCAACAAACAGCTCAACTTCGCTGAACAAAGTTCTTTCTATCGAATCATATACTGATTCTAGTGGTGGAACGTGGTATGGACAAAAGCGTGCGTTCCGCATTGAGCCCATCAACCCTTATCACTCATTCGAACAAGTTAGACATGTAATTGTTGGACATGTAACTGATTATCCACCTCCAGGTGTTCATATCAAACCCACACCATG